GGAGGGATATGTAAAAAACAAAAGTAGTTGAGTGCTACTTCATATGGGCAGTTCTACAGAAGAGGGAATTTGTGATGTTCAAGGTTGCTTTTTACATTAATTATGAAAAAAAGAAAATTATTTTCAGTGAAAACTGTAGAGCTTTATGGTTTCTATTATGCAACAAAACGTAACCCAGTTTCAAAAAATAAGCATTGAATTGCTAAATTCTCAATTTCTTGGCATGTCCCAATGTGAAAATGAAAGTTAAAATTGTTAAGAATTTCAATTCAGGTTAATTCTCCATTTTTTACAGTGCTTAATAAAGGTAAACTAATTATGATATCAATTAACAAAAATTGTGTACTTTGTGATCGAAATTGCCAATTGTCAGACAAATACTCAGTTTTCTAGCACACATTTTAAAATAAAATATTTTATGTTATCTAAATAATCTCTTGTTACTCGGAGGTTTTCAGGGTCGCTGATTGCGAATCCGATATCAGTTTTCCAAAATTAAATATGTCAGACAAATTATAAAATAAAAATCTCAAATTTTTATGAAATTCAATGACTACATGTTTATAGATTTTATAATTCATAAACATAACCATTTCTGCTACATTTGATCCGCCATTTTGTATTTCGAAAGACTAACTTCGGATTCATAAGCAGCGACCCTGAAAACCTCCGAGTAACGAGAGTTTCATGTGCGTTTCACCCGATTTTTGAAAACTCGTCGGCCATATTAGATCCGCCATTTTGAATTTTGAAAAACTGATTTTGGATTCGTAATCAGCGGCTTCAAAAACCCCCGTGTAACGAAAATCATAGAAAAACATAGACTATTTTGGGAGTTATTCATAATCTGTTTTTCACGACCATGGTCTCCTGCACTGCAAAAACTAGTATCTCACTCGTGTCTTAAAATGAGTTGCTTTAAGTGTTTAAATCATTGAGATACAAAATCTGTCTTATATTGAGAACATTTAATTTCATCTCGTGTCTCATTTTAAAACATTAAAGGTGACTTAATGCTTATAAGACACATAAAACGTCTTCTCATTGTGTGACGGATACTCGAAACACATATCATGTCTCAAAATGAAGTGGAAAATGTGTGAGACACTTTGTAACGTCTTAAAATGAGACACATATCTGTTTCAAATATGTGGACACAAGACATCTATGTGTTTCAAATATGTGGACAAAGCGTCTCAAAATGAGACACTTGTTTTTGCAGTGTGGTTGAATTGTTTATAAATAGCTGCAAAATTTGCAGTTTGTAATTTTTTGACAGGCCTCTTTTATAGAACTTTTATAGTATGTACTATTAATTTGAATTTAACATACTTTTTAGAACCTAAACACACAAAAAATATTGTTTGGAAATTTTCTTTCTTCGTTTGTAGAACTGCCTGAACTACCAATATTATTATATTGCTATTTTAGAAATATACACGGAGAAAACTGGATATTCAAAAGTAGATATTGAAAAAATATATTAACTCTTAACATCAAAGATATTAAACTTTAATATCTAAATATTCAAATCATATGCTAGATATTAACGCTTACCCAGGCAGAAAAGTTGGAGGTGTGCCAACACTAACGACCGGCATGGTACCGACCCGGTAGTTAAGACGGACTTATGCCGGTACCGTCAAAAAAGTACCGGGCCGGATATGAAATAACGACTGGCCCAGTACCGGCCCGGTGGTAAATGTTGATTTGTACCGGTAATGGTAATATGTTCCGGGCCGGTTGATTAAAAATATCTGGGTTAGCACCGGCCCGGTACTATAATTTAGTTCTGTTTTTATACCACCAAAGAAGATTTGCCGGTGATAATATTTGTACCGGCCCAGCACCGGCCCAGTACTACCACTTGGTTTTGTTAGTAACGGCCCGATACAGACCAAGAACCAAAATTTACTTAAGGTTTTTCACCGGCACGGGAGTTCTGCCGGCAAGTATATATTAGTACACGGGGAAAAGAGAAACGTTGATCTAACAAACTGGGCCTACTTCACGGCAATGACATTGAATTAACACTAAAGTGACCATATGGAAATAGTGTCAATGCGGGACACTCGCTTATTTATATCATTTAGTAAAAAAAAGGTCATTTGCCACAAGAAAAAAGGAACAGGGAATTTGTAGGAGTAAATTGGAGTGGATTGAAACAGCGCGCGTCTTATGATATTTACATATTTATGTTATGCTTATTTTGTAACATTAAATCACATATTTTTCTGACGATTGAATTTTTCTTAAAATATCACGAAGTCTATCTCTCTCACACTTATACGCTACTGTGTTAACCTGTAGATGTAGGATATTCTTAACTATTTTCCGGGATATGCAGGACATTTTATGTCAAATGCGGGACGTTTTGCGGGACGCTAGCCTTTGCGGGACAAAGGGGGGAAATCCGGGACAGTCCCGCACAATCCGGGACGTATGGTCACTTTAATTAACACAGGTCCACCTGTTAAATCAACATACCACGATAATTTTGCTTGACCAGAAATATGTTTGCTTGCGCATGCGCAGCGCGTGTGTAATTGTGACTGATCAGCTAGGTTATGGCCGTATATGAAAATTGACTGATCAGCTGCGTATATTTTTATATAGTCGTAAATGTTTTTAATGATTGCGGAAATTATCTTTCATAATGGATTTGCCAAGTGATTCATGTTTTAAATAATTATTTCTTAAATATTATTTATTTTGATGTATAAAATGATATAGTACGTTAATTCAACGGCTAATGGTAAAATGAATCAACACACCATCTCCTGACAGTTACTTTCGGAATCAAACTCACTTACGAGGTGACATTAATACAACATACATACATAACTACAGATGTCGCCTATGTTGAAACGGTTGAAACCGTTGAAACAGCACCGAAAAACTGTTCATCCAATCCGAAATCGGTATTAACCCAACGTTTCTCTTTTCCCCGTGTACCGGCCCGGCACAGATATTTACTTAATAATTTCCACTGGCACAGAAGTTTTGCCGGCAAAAATATTAGTACTGGCCCGGTGTCGTCCCGGTTGTTTGCTGGTATTAAACCAGCAAAAAAAAATTAAAGGGAAAAAAATTTGAAAATTAATTATTTAGTTATGCCGGCAATTATATTAATACCGGGTAGGTTGTTTATTTGTGCCGGCCCGGTATCTAGCCGGTGAATAGGACGGTTATTATTATTCATAATTACTATTTTTATTTATTTAGTTATTTTTAATAATTTAAATTGAATTAAAATAAATTAAAAAATACAAATACTGGCCCGGTAGCTCACTGGTTGAATATTAGTGCCGGCCCGGCACTGCTGCCAGGTGGAATGTCGGTTGGACTTTATAAGCTCACTTTGTATTTACTTTCCATATGCAAGTTTAGGTTAGCGGATGTTATGTCGACTTTGCAGCCTCAGGGTCCGGAGTTTAATTCCTCGAGTCTTCAGATTTTTCTATAATTGTTTATGTTTTTCTGTTTCAGCATTTAATATATTTGCTGTTTCCAATTTAAAATTAATAATAACATTGATAATAATAATAATAATTAAACAATTAATCAGACTAAAATGTAATTTTTTTAACCAGCCCGGTACCACACCGGTTGTTTTTTAGTGCCGGCCCGGTACGGTTGCCGGATACCTACTGAAGTTATCATCCGGCAATTTACCGGTACTGCGCCGGTGGAATGAATAAATTTATGCCGGTACTGGACCAGTACCTAGCCGGTTGTGCAGCCGGTAATAAACCGGCACTAAATGCCTTCAAACAATAACCGGGCCAGTACCGCCCCGGTGGATTATTCGGTACCGGCCCGGTACGTATGCCGGATACCTGCCGCAGTTATCATCCGGAAATTTGCCGGTACCGAGACGGTAAAAATTACGGTCTTATGCCGGTACCGCCCCGGCACTTATAATCCGCCGTTTGTACCGGGCCGGTACCATCCCGGTCGTCAATTTCTACCCGAGTATCATCCAGATATTTACTTTTAATATCTAGATAGCTGTCCCTATGTTAAAGAATAAAAATATTAAACTTTAACATCTAAACTCTAACATCTCCGTGTATCGGGAGAGTAGGTCTCATTGCAAAAATAAATAAATTATTGATACACCCACATTTCCGATTGCATTTATCCTTACTATGTGTGGATGGAATAGACACATACAATCGTGCTGAGGACTTTAGTGTAATTTGCTTCTAAGAATGCTATTTATTCGCAATAAAAAGGAATTTCAAATTGCAGGTTTCATAAAGCCTTTCCTCTTTGTCTAAAGAAAGAATATTTATTCTTCTCTTTAAAATTCTTTTGCATTTCTTATTTTTTGGCACTATTTAATATACAGGTAAATTTTTTTAAGAAATGTCAATTAAAGGTTTAATGAATCTTACAGAATTCTTTTTATTAGATTAGATGATTAACGAAAATTAGTCAATTATTTTTGCTATAATTAGGCAATTATAAAAATATAGTTTCAGAAACTCGAAGTGCAGAATTCTGTTTAAAAATATTTCATAAAAACTTTCTATTGGATTGTATCGAAATTTTAATAATAGTTTCCTTTGGGCTTTAATCAGATTTCTAATGAAATTAAAATTCTATCAGAATTCCAGTAGACTTTCAAAAATTTAAAGTAGTAAATATAGACGACGTATTTCTGAAAAGTTTGGCAAATAAGCCATTTTAAATCATAAAAGTTCTAAACATTTTTAACGCATTATATAGTAATTTTTAGCACGCTATATGTTGGTAAGATTTTTGCCATAGTTTCAAATTTTGGTGGTTTCATTTGCAAAAATTGTTAATTTGCTTGAGAATATTTTTACATTTTCATTCGTTTTAAAGTTAATGGCAATTGTAAGAAAATTTGAAAATTTTCATTAAAAATGATAATTTATTGAAATAATTATTCTTTTTAATATAATATTCTGACTTTATTACTTAATTTAAAAAAATATTTTTTTCGTATAAAAATATAGAATGAAACTCACCATTTCGTCGAGGCTCTTTAAATCATTGGTGACAATTTGTGGTTGTGGTCCATAAATTAAACACGGCTCTTCCTGCTGCATATCTGCATAATCATCGTCACTTTCATCGTTATTGGTCCCATTGGTAGCTTTGTTCTCGGCAGCGATTTCACGATCGATTTGTCGCTCCATTTGCACTAACATGGGGGCCAACATGCCAAATTTGGCCCCACGTCTCGCAACTTCCAACAGGCAAAGTATCACGTGCCTCTCGTTTTTGCGCATTATCAAGTCATCAGTCTCAAAGAGTAGACATTCAATGATACCAAGACTGTTGCGGCACCAACTGATGAAGTTGGACACGTTGTCCCGTGCAAAAAAAGTACCGGCCTTCGCGTTTGGTAGAAAGGCCACATCGCTCAACTGGCTCATTGGAACTGCCAACGATGAGGTTATCGAGCGAGTCATGATCTTTCGAGCCTGCCGCCTTGCCACGTATTCGGCCGCTGATTTTCGCACGTTGTTCGCGTGCTAAAAAAATAAAAGGATACGCTTATTTAATACTTCATCCCTTTTGAAAAACAGAGATCTTTCATTAGACAAGTGACTTCAAGTTATACATATAACTCAAGGTCAAAAATATTAAGATTTGCTCCTTCATTATATATAGTTACATGTACAAATCATTTAACTTACAGTTGTATAGGGGGTTGGGATTATTTATGTGTTATTTTTCAAATATTAATTACTTTCTCCATTTTCTTTAACTTAACCAACAAATAAAAAATTGCACTTTGAAAATAGGAGGAGCTTATTTTTATTGGCCAGAAGTCTTTTTTCTTAATGAGTTAAGACTAAATGTAACTTTTTAAAAATAAAATATTCACTCCCTTTTTGTACTATTGAACCAACGAATAAAAAAATTGCTTTTTTAAAGTGGGAGGAGTTAGAATCTCATTTTAATTTGTCTGAAAAGTAAATTTTCTAATTATTTTAGAAAAACGGGAAAAAATTGTCTATTTTATCTTTCTTAGTATAATTGATTGTAGCATTAATTCTATTTATTTTCTGTTTTTTTATTTTTTATATTCTACTAAATATAATAATAATTGATTTTAAAGCAAAATTAATTGTGCAGGTTATTTATTTTTTACATGAAATTGTTTAAAAGATTTTTATTCAAATTTATTTTTCTAAGTAAAATACTGATTTTTAGCTTTGAATAATATTTATTTAAATAAATTCATTTATTTTAATAATCGAAAAAGTTTTGCTAAATTACTAATTTTTGATCACATTGTAAAAAACGTTTTTTAAATGTAAAAGATATGATTTATGTTAATGTATTATTGTTATTAGTAATATCTGTTAAATCAAAGAAAGCAATTTTTTTCAATGTTCACTATATATTTATACACATCATTTTGAAACTTCGCACGTTTATCCTAATCAGTTCCTTTTGTTTGACAGGTCACGGTGTGTTTTAAACTGATTTTACCCAAAAGTCCTGGTATCTGGGATTTTCTTCTTGATTTCGTTTCTGGAGTGTGTGAACACATAATTTTACAACAAAAATTAAAATAATCGCTGGAGCCGTTTTTAAGAACATCGATTTTTATTTTAAAAAAACGAAAATTCAAATTTGCTTAAAAAATTTCTATTTTAGAAAAAAACTTTTCTTATAAAAGTTACAGATAATAAAAATAGGAATATTTCTTATTAAGGTCTTTTTCTAATACAATTAACACTTTCCGAGATATTCGAAGAAAACTGACATTTTTATACATTTACATTATATATCGATGGGTGTTACGAAAAAAAACTCTTAAAATTTTTTTGCAAGAAAACTAACACTCCTGATTTTTAACCCTCCTGCGTACCTATTTTCACCCATAAAATTGTTTCCAAATGCACAAATTTTTCACACTGTTGGATTTTTCTACAAATTGGTACCTAACGGTTTTTGGGGTCGCTGATTACGAATCTGAGGTCAGATTTAAAAAATTCAAAATGGCGGATCCAATATGGCGGATGAATTTTTAAAAAATTGTTTGATTGTAATGAAACTTGGTATCTAGAGGTTTTGGGGTCGCTGATTACGAATCTGAGGTCAGATTTAAAAAATTCAAAATGGCGGATCCAATATGGCGGATGAGTTTTTAAAAAGTTCATCCAAATTTCTTGAAAATTTATAATCGGGGTTTTTTGAGGTCGCTGATTACGAATTTAAGGTCAAATTAGAAAAATTCAAAATGGCGGATCCAATATGGCGGACAAATTTTTAAAAAATTGTTTGGTTTTATTAAAAAATTTTAATGAAACTTGGTGTCTGGGGTTTTTTGAGGTCACTTATTACGAAGCTGAGATCATATTTAAAAAATACAGAAGATCAGAGCCAATATGGCCGCCAGTTTTAAAAATATTTTAGATTTGTTATAGATATGTTGGTATTTTACAAGTCTTATTTTATAAACTACGTCTCTGTTATATGAAACAATGTGCATTTTTTAGACTTCCAAAGTTGGGTAGTACTACATAATGATGTTTTATATATTTAACAATTTAACACATATTTAAATAAATAATTATAGATGTTAATTAACTCCTTGCACAAAAGACTTAGAAACATGCTTTTTCCAAATTTTAAAAGTTAACAAGATCAGTATTATTGTAAGTTTCATGTTTGTTAATTGCAAAATTGGAGGTATTTTATTCAACTTAGTTAATTGCAAAATTAGAAGAAATTGCATGCTTTTAGATGTTTTTTGTAAAAAGTTAGTAAATAACAACATTATTTGTTTAAACAATTAAAGAATCGTTTAATTTATGAAGAATCTTCATGTAATATTACTCAGCTTAGTTGATTGTAAAATTAGAAAAAAAATTGCATGTTTCTAGATGTTTTTGTAAAAAGTTAGTAAATAACAACATTATTTGTTTAAACAATTAAAGAATCGTTAAATTTATGAAAAATCTAAATGTACTATTACTCAGCTTAGTTAATTGCAAAATTAGAAAAAGCTGCATGTTTCTAGATATTTTTGTAAAAAGTTAGTACATAACAACAATTATTTGTTTAAACAATTAAAGAATTTTTAAATTTATAAAATATTCTTATATTGCCATTTTGAGTTTTGAAAATCTGACCTCAGATTTGTAATCAGCGACCACGAAAACCTCTAGATACCAAATTTTATTAAATTCAAACAATTTTTTTAAAATTCATCCACCATATTGGATCCGCCATTTTTAATTTTTTTAATCTGACCTTAGATTCGTAATCAGCGACCTCAAAAACCCCCGAGTATAAATTTTCAAGAAATTTGGATAAATTTTTGAAAATTTCATCCGCCATATTGGATCTGCCATTTTGAATTTTTCTATTTTGACCTTATATTCGTAATCAGCGACCTCAAAAACCCCCGATTATAAATTTTCAAGAAATTTGGATGAATTTTTTAAAAACTCATCCGCCATATTGGATCCGGCATTTTGGATTTTTTTAATCTGGCTTCATATTCTTAATCAGCAACTCCAAGAACCCTTGAGATACCAAGTTTCATTAAAATCAAACAATTTTTTTTAAAGAAGTATGTATTTGCAACTTTTATTTTGTGACCTATCCTCTAGTGTTTATAACAAATATTTAATACTTTGTTTATTAACAAATACTTTAATTAGAGACTTTTTTATGTATGTATCATTAACTATGAACCTTACACTGTAAGTTGCACTTTGTCTCGTGTGTTAAAGTTAATTTGTTTAAAAGTTATGAGAAAAAATATTTGGACGAGTATACTCGTCCTCGCGCATTTGGTAACAACTTAGTTTGGACGAGTATACTCGTCACGGTACGCAGGAGGGTTAAATGAAAAAATGAACTTTTAATTTTAAAAACTAATTTTATTATATTAAATTTTTAAATGAATATTACAACATATGGAAGAGAAAATTCAAAAAAACTCTCTTATTTGTATCGTAAACTTAAAATGGAAACTGTATTTTTAGTTATATTTTCTTCGGAATTGTTTTTTTTTCGTCCTGAATCTCGACTGTGTTTTTTTGTAACACTCATCGATATTAACAAACTTACACTGTGTATAATATTCACACGTTACTATGTTCATGTTTATAAATAACAACCCAAGACAGCACGTAAGCTTTCAGCAAGCTTGAGGCAAGCTTGCCGCGCAAGATTGCCAATATTGACGTGCAAGTTTGCAGCAAGCTTGCCACAAGCTTAAAATGTCCCACTCATAGCAAGCTTCATGTGCAAGTTTGCTGCAATATTGCACTGCAAGCTTGCAGCAATATTGCACTAAAGGTTGCCGCAAACTTGATGTAATCTTATATGGAAATTGTTTATTATATAAAATTAATAATTTATTATTAGCAACAAATTTATATTTAATATTTTTAATTTTTATTAAACATTAAAAAATTATATCAACGTTATAATAATAATGTTATTAATTTTCCCAAAGAATTGGAGTTGGGAACTATTATCCATGATCAGTGGATAATAATTAAAAATTGTCAACGTCGTAGCAGACGTTAACTATACACATTATCATTTAAGATAATATGCTGAAAAGTCTGTTCAGCGGACCAATACTTATACTCTGCGCGAGACAAGTCGTGCGCGAGAGAGGTATTTCTCGCCATCTAGCAAGGAATTGGAAAACTAATAGAAGTTTCTCTTATAATTCTTTAACTCCTTGCTAGATGGCGAGCAATACCTCTCTCGCGCACGACTTGTCTCGCGCAGAGTATAAGTATTGGTCCGCTGAACAGACTTTTCAGCATATTATCTTAAATGATAATGTGTAGGTATAGTTAACGTCTGCTACGACGTTGACAATTTTTAATTATTATCCACTGATCATGGATAATAGTTCCCAACTCCAATTCTTTGGGAAAATTAATAACATTATTATTATAACGTTGATATAATTTTTTAATGTTTAATAAAAATTAAAAATATTAAATATAAATTTGTTGCTAATAATAAATTATTAATTTTATATAATAAACAATTTCCATATAAGATTACATCAAGTTTGCGGCAACCTTTAGTGCAATATTGCTGCAAGCTTGCAGTGCAATATTGCAGCAAACTTGCACATGAAGCTTGCTATGAGTGGGACATTTTAAGCTTGTGGCAAGCTTGCTGCAAACTTGCACGTCAATATTGGCAATCTTGCGCGGCAAGCTTGCCTCAAGCTTGCTGAAAGCTTACGTGCTGTCTTGGACCTGAAAGGTAAATTTTTTCTTGTTAAACAAGAAGTAAAAATGTCTAAAAGTAGAGCTTTAACGCACGAATTTGATTAAAAAATATGTAAAATGTCATTTTTCCGATTATCTTGGAAACTATTCATTGTATATTAGAAAAAAATCTAAATAAAAAATATTCATATAATGGATAAATCGACTATAGAATAGTTTATTTATTAATTATAAGAGCTTTTTCTAACATTTTTAGTTTTTTTGATGAACTTTTTTCTACTATTTAAAGTCTAACCACCTGGGTA